TTGTTTGAGTGAGATGGTGGTGGGACCCACCTGATTTATGAATGAATATATAATTATCACTTTGTCCTTTATTAGTGGTTAAATGAGTATATTTGACCGTACAATGATTAAATAATTACTAGATTGCCATTAATGATTGATCATAGTTTGACTTCATTATAACCATTGATATGGTTGATCCCATGGGCCAGAATCATTTTTATTTCTTTCATCATTCCTCTTTCCCATTTGAGCATATATATATATATATATATATATATATATATATGTATAGACTGATTCAAATAAAAACTAGTGCTGGTGGGAGAACCGTGAGAATCGTACTTGATGCTATTTTTAAGTGTGTATGATGCTATTTATAATATTACATGGAGCTATCATTTTCAAAATGCTAATATAAATTGTGTTGCCATTTTTAATAAAATACACCATGATTAAAAGTAGCATTAAACACAATCAATCATAGCACTACATACAACTAACAATAACGGTTCTCATGCTAGGACTTGGTTCTCATTTGGACCACACCTTAAACACACACACACATACACACACATACACACACAATATATATATATATATATGTATAATTGCTGGCAGAGCATTAAATAAACCTAATTAATATAACCTTCGTAATTTCTCCGTTCATTTTTCAATTAATGTAGAAATGTTACATTTTATGTTAATAAAGTGTAACAACAATTTTAAACTAATCTATTATATAATATTACTATTAATACTAATTGATTATAATTTACATTAAATAGTATGTGGAAGTTACATACTTATAAAAACTTGTATTGAAATTTTGTTTCTTTAAAATACTTTTACTAAAATAAAATATTTTTTGTCTTTTTAAGCGATTTTTATCTAATATTAGTTAATTGGCATGAATGTCATAATTAAATACCTCAAAATCACATAAACAATCGATATAACAAAAAAAAAATTGTAGTACTTTCTATCTAATTAATTCATGTATGGTCCATCTAAATTACTAAATTATATTGTCCATTTAAATTTATGTCATCAATGTAAAGATTCATACGTAAGTTAACCAATTTATATTTACATTACACATTTGCATATAGTCAACATTTAAAATGTAATACATCCATTGTCTAATATAAAATTTTATATATTGTATACATACATATAATATATGAACTTTTATTTTTCTTTGTGCATGTGCACAGGATGAATACTAATTTTATACAAATAACAAAAAAAAAATATATGCATACTTTCCAGGAAATATGCAAATTCTCGTGACAGTGACCTATAATTCACCCCACATAAAAAAAAAAGATAAAAAAAATCATACTTTATCAGATGTAGCTAAGAGTACTTTTTTTTCAAAATAAAAAATTGGGCGAACGAAACTCGAAAAGAAAGGTACATATCTGTTAGGGTTCTGTTCCTTCAAGATTTTAGGGATCTTGATTTGGAGTCGCATTAAATTCCTCAAGCATAACATCACTCGATTTTTGGGGTGAAGAATCAAGCCGCGACAGATTCGCTGCAATTTTTGGAGGTGAAAATCTAGGAAATTGATTGAGCAAAACAGAAGGGGCGACGTCGATGAAGTTCTTTTTATCTGATAAAATCGGGCTACAAATTAAAATGGAGGAATAACAACAATTAAAGGAAGAATAAATTATTATGATGTGGATTAAAAGGGTGACGTGGATTCCTACGTGTGTGCTGATGTGGCACTGACTTCAAAATGTTGAGCGCCACACAATCTTAATCGGTGCCACGTCAATTTTCAATCAAACATGTCAGCATGGCTTTGCCGAAAACATATTTTGAGTCAAAAATGCAATACTTAATAAATGTTTTGTATTTTGTTGCAAAGTTAAATTTTATTTGCAACTAAATAAAAAGTTATGTTTTATAGGCAATTAACCATCTAGTATTTTAATATCACATATTTTTTTGAATAATGCTACATGTACCCCTTGGTGTACCACTTGGTTTACATCCAAGGAGTACATGTACCTATTTACCCTTGAATAATTTACTAAATTATTCATTCCTATTTACCCTTAATGAATATTTTTTTTTTTTTTTTT